TTAAAACAGTTGAATATATCTTTCTACTTCTGTTCAGCAAACACGAGGTGCTATTTTATTTCTTTATTTACGCACAAGCTGACGTTTCGGAGGATTTCGCCTTCCTCAGAGCCTGGAAGGGTCAAGTTGACAGCAATCCATTCGGCCAAACACCTTCACAACCAAACAGAGAAAACGCTAAACCAAGATTTCAATCACATTGAACACAGCTCCGCACACTCACCGATTTCTATGAGTCTTCCACTGAGTATGTCGCGTGAAGACCGACCGCACAGAATTCACATGGAAGCGTAATGTGCCCCTCCCATCAGAATAACAGGTTTATACACTGTCCAATATCACGCGTGATAACGAGGCATTCCTCCCTGCGGTTCATTTTTGGATTCTTGGAATTTATTCAGAATGCCTCCACAGTTTTGCGCGCTTGTGTTCTCGATTCTTGCGCGAGGATCATAACCCTTACTTCAAAATCTTCTCCGTTATGTTTCTGCGTTCTATGCGTACCTAGTGGAGTATTTGGTTTACGTTTGCCGACTAGGTGTTCTTTTATACGCACGCAGAGTGGTCTACCCGTTTCGCCAACGTATTCGACCCCGCACGCTTTACAAGAGATCAGATAGGCTGTACCCGAACTCATGCAGTCACCGTCTCTACCATTGGGGCAAATTATGCAATTTTGCGTTGCACATAGACGGTCATATAGGCGGTTAGAAGATTTTGAAGTAAGGGTTACGACCCTCGCGCAAGAATCGAGAACACAAGCGCGCAAAACTCTAGAGGCATTCTGAATAAATTCCAAGAATCCGAAAATGAACCGCAGGGAGGAATGCCTCGTCATCACGCGTGATATTGGACAGTATATAAACCTGTTATTCTGATGGGAGGGGCACATTACGCTTCCATGTGAATTCCGTGCGGTCGGTCTTCACGCGACATACTCAGTGGAAGACTCATAGAAAGCGGTGTGTGTGCAGAGCTATGCTAAATGTGATTGAAATCTTGGTTTAGCGTTTTCTCTGTTTGGTTATGGAGGTGTTTGGCCGAATAGATTGCTGTCAACTTGACCCTTCCAGGCTCTGAGGAAGGCGATATCCGCCGAAACGTCAGCTTGTGCGTAAATAAAGAAATAAAATAGCACCTCGTGTTTGCTGAACAGAAGTAGAAAGATATATTCAATCAATGCCGAGGTTAATAGAAAGTCGGACTTGGGAGTTAAAACAGTTGACCCACATTACGTAAAACGGTGAGTCTTACCGGCCTATAAACCTTACCTAGCATTCGAATCAGGAAGCAAGAATTTCAATTCTCTGTCAAATCTTCCTGGCCGACGCAAAGCAGGATCTAGCGCGTCTAGTCGATTCGTTGCACCAATTACAACCACCTGTTGAACTCATTAAATGTAGATTAAATTAATTAAACATTTTACGCAGAAATTCACTCAAGGACGAACTTACCTCTCCACGGTTGTCCAAGCCATCCATGAGGGCCAGCAATGTACTTACAATACTGGAATGTATTTGATCCTGCTTTGAAGACCTAACTGGAGCAAGACCATCTATTTCGTCAAAGAATATGATGGACGGACGCATAGCATACGCTTGATCAAATAAAACCCTTAAAGTGAGAAGTTTATAATATGGAATGTATTAAGAAATCAAACCTATCAAGTGTGTACTCTAGTGATTTAAGCGTAGAAACACATCACGCACCGCAGCTGTCTCTCAGCTTCACCAACCCACTTGCTGAGACAATCGGCACCTTTCCTCATGAAAAAAGCTACCTAAATGGATCCGTTGTCGTTCACTCTATCACCTAATCCGTAAAATGTACCAACTTTCCGTCCACCTCTAGAGCATTCGTTCGCTAAAGCTCGAGCCATTAAAGTCTTCCCAGTTCCTCAAACAAGTATGAAACAACAATAGTTGTTACAATTACGCCAATACTCAATCTGTTGAAATACTTCTGACACATTTCTGATCAGACCGAAACTCAGTCGTGTGAAAAGTAGTTCCACAGACACTGGATATTAAAAAGTAAATACCGGGAGGTCCATAGAAGACCACTCCTTTAGGGGGCATTATGTTGAATTGCTTGAAAATTTCAGGATACAACATAGGAAAAAGCACTATTTCCTTCAGTGACTGGATGTGTGCTCCGAGACCTCCTACCTAAAGGAGAAAAAACAGGAAAAAAACTGGTGAACCTATCAGTAAGATTTAAAACAAGCAAATCACGAACTTCTTCAAAGCCAATGCTCTTGTCAATAATCATTGGATCAATATCGGTACATGAACCTCCAGTCTGTCGTAAACGTTCCCGAATAACAGTTTGACTTGACGTCAGGTCCTTTTCTGAACGTAGAAGGTACTAATAATTGTAGAACTTTTAAATGCGTCGTTTTCTTTCTCAGCAATTGCGAGGTTGTTAAACAGCGCACGTTTACTTCCATACAATAACGCACATAAAATACAATCGTAGCTGGCGTTTCGGCAGATTCGCCTTCTTCAGGACCGTTTTTTACGTGCCTCCCACTGAGGAAAAGCCGCTGATCAGCGTCGCATATGGTTGACAACCGTCGCGGCTGTTCTTCCCCGGTGGAAGACAGGTGGAAAAAGCGGCTCTGAAGAAGGTGATTCTACCGAAACGTCAGCTACGATTGTATTGTAACTGTGCTATTGTATGGAAGCAAACGTACGCTGTTTAACAACCCCGCGATTGCTAAGAAAACGACGCATATATAATTCAATGCTGAGGTTAATAGAAAGTCGATCCTGGGAATTGTAGAAATTATATTCAAATATAGGTCAAAACAACACTGAAAAGTTCTCACTAAAATGTGGACCCACCACTGAGGTTAATAGGCATGTAACGATTGCGTGCTTTAGCCAGACTTCGTTCTTTACGTCGTTCAAAACGCAAATCATCGCTCCTGGTTCTAATGTGATCGTCACAACTATCGCTCGAAGTGGAGGAAGAGTCGCTTCGTGTTTCACGACGTCGCCTTTAAAGCATTTAGTCTACAGTTGTATAAATCAAGTAATAATTTCCACGACTGAGATTGTTTCCACCGACTTCAGATGTACGAACAAGAAAACTTCAGGGATTACTAAACCAGCTTTATAAACAACAATGTTTAGTGCTCCATACCGCTTTGCAGCCGTTTTTGCCTTCAGCTCTTTACGATCCGTTGATCGATTTCGGCTTCTGCGCTCTCTATCGTCTCTGAAACAGAATTACCAGAGAAATACGACTTTTACAAACTGCCACAGAGGCAACAATACACCAAAAGAACAACAAAGTAAAAGTTCATAAGATAAATAAAAACAACTACTATAAAATAAAACTAATTATTTAGTTAATTAGTTAATTAACGAAATCTTTTCCACGTTTCTTGAGAATTTCTCATCTACATGTCGACAAAGAAAACATTCATTAAATAATTAATGGGGACTTACGCACTTACCAGAATAAAGGGTTTATAAACAAGAGCGCATACCGCAGTGAAATTACTTATTTGGATACTTGGATGACCTGTGCTCACTAGTTTTGCGGGCACCAGCAGAACCATTTTTTGAAATTTTGCTAGTTTAACCATTGTTTCCCAGGAGACCCGGGGTTAATGTGGCCAATGTCTGCCCCAAGTCGTCACGATCACAAGTAGTCGCAGCCCTTGTGGACCAGGGAGATTTGCCACCGCGCAAATAGTTTAATATCAGGACGGTGGTAGATCGTTGTTTAGTTTACCCTTAGCTGTGTTTCCTGATGGAAAACTTGGACTCCTTCTCAGATTGCGAGACCCTGCTGAGGGATAAAACCTCCGCTGTACATTGTAGTCCAACACCCTTTTACTGCATAATTCAAAACGACTTCAATCCAAAATGTCGACACTACGACACTAAAACGAGAACATAAACATACCTGTGTCTGTCTTTAAGTGTTGTAGTCACAGCAAATCGATCAACCGGTTGGCGAAATTTTCTCAAGGAATATTGACGCGGCTCAGGAGTCTTATCTTCATCGTCTTCCTCGGTCTAGAAAAATTCTAAGTAGACAAATTAGTGGTATATAAAACTGTTATAAACGAAAACCGCGGTACGAAAACCACTTTTAATACAACCTCTTCACTAGATTGACTTCCGTCGACTTCCGCAGAATCTGCCTCTTTTGAAATACCATTCAACAAGCGTTCTCTGTTCGCTTTCCGAAGACTTCGAGCCGATTCGCAGGCTGTCCCAATTTGCACTCCATTGGAAGAAGGAGAACAAGGTAGTGATGTAGACCTAAAATACGGATAGCTAGCAGTATAAAAATTGGAAAGCAAGCGTAACAGAAGAACTTACGCGACGAATTTTCGTTCTCTTTTGACATTGTCATACATATTTGACCGTATATTTTCCTGATTTCGAGAGGAATCAGTTTTCTTCTCCTTCTTAACAAATATGTTTCATGGAATAAACGCAAGGAACACATAAAACATAATTAGAGATGTAAGACTACTTCTTGGCCATCGTCTTCCAGCATAGCTTGCCTCTTTACAGCTCGTTTTGGACTAGGTGACCGCATGTTGACCGTCCCATCATTATAACTTTCTTTAGGATATCTAGAGGATACACGACTAGTAACGTTTCGACAAAAAGGTAACGCGATATTGCATGTGCTTTACTACCTCCGTTGTCTTCCTTTTATAAATTCGTCATCATCTGACGAGTCGCTGTTCACGTGAAGGCTTCCCGTTATTCTTTTTCCGGAACGAGTATATCCCGCAACTGGTTGAGACGAAATCAGCTCCTTAAGAAAGTAAGAGCTCACCGAAGAGCAGAAACGTTGGAACGACATGACTGTTCCATGGTAAGTGTTTCCTACGCATTTATCATTGATTTTTAACTGTAATGTATGACGATAACTAAAAGCGCACATAAATTACCACGAAATAGGAAGTTCGGCAAGAAATACCAGTGAAGATCACCTAATAAAAGAGACACTTCCGTTCACAGGAGTAAACAATCGCTTTCACTTAACATCGGTTAAAGTAGAAAAAAGGATAAAGCTCTCGGCCTTGATCAATCCTTGCGGGATGCACCATGCATTAGACTTCATTAAGCACCGTTTTAGGTGAATGAATGCATACTTGGCACTTACAGTGACTCGCCGTTCCCTACCAATGTATCGAGTCAGTGCTGCTGTCCTTCCAGACAAGTCTGGCACCAACTTGCCAACCCCGCAGGGATGGAGGCCTTCGTGGGCCTGGGACGCCATGATCGATCCCACGTGTATTGCCTGTTGCAGACCACTACGTTACACACGCTCCTTAAGTAGGTGCTACAACACAGGTAGCCATAGCTTAACGCATAAGACTACAAAACTTTTTCAAGTTTTTGCTTTAGAATCATAATGATAAAAGACGATAGACACTTAGGATTAACCTTGGCAGACCAGTTATGACTCGCATTAAGAAATTCCAATTATATGGTAAGAAAAACGTCAGCAGAACTCTACAAGAAAGAGTTTAAGGGACATTAACAATATTAAAAGCATGAGAGCACTTAGATCAATTCAAGGTTAGGAAACTTGGTCAATCCCTTGCAGTGAACAGATGTTGAAAGAATGAATGTCAAGGAAAGGGCTCAACAATAAATTCAGAACTTTGTATGTCACTTTAGTGATGACTTTCTCGTCTTAGTCAAAGTCCATTAGAAGTTACATTAGAAGTTGGTAACCTTAGCAAGAATGCGAAATGGTGAAAAACACAGTTTCCTTAGAAAAGCTACCAGTTTTGAACGACGACGGTCGTGGTCTAGTTTCAATCACTTCCGAAAATACGAGTTGACGTCAACTGAGTAGGTTAAAACACCGCTGAAAGAAAGGAGACACGAAGGACCCGCAGGGTGTGGTGGGGAACACGTTAGCCCCGCTGGAAAGGACAATAGCGGGTGCGATCCCTTCTGCAGACACCTGCGGTCCGGAGGTTTGCAAATATCTCAGTACCATTGCCATACGTCACATCATACCCTGCCATGAAAAAAGAATAGGCAGTAAATAAAAAAGTGACTACATTATAAGTTAGTGAGTATAAGTTGACGATATTTCAATTAGGTAAAGTAAGAATTAGCCGTCCATTCCAATAATATAAAGACGATTTCAAATGTAACAACACACCTTATGAAGTTGCTCTGTCGCCGTTCGTATGATGCTCTTCATAAAACTACCACGAAGATGGTGTTCGGCGAGATCATTCTCCGCCAAGCTACGATAAACCATGGTCCTTTCACGGGTCGAACTACGAAGATTCTTCTGAGGTGAAAGACCGTTACCGCGCTTCACCATCCTTTAAGAAAAGATTTAGAGCGTGACAAATCACCAGATGTGCTGCTTAGACATTAAATGTGAATTCAAACATGATCTAGGATATACATAACTCCACGTTTAGTAGGAGGGTAAAACAACAGAGAGAGGGAGAGAAAGAGGGAAGGAGAGATAAAACAACAAATAAAACAAAGATTTCAAAACCAATTTTCCTTTAACCTCGGCATGACTAGTCGATATGTGTTCTTTCTCAAATATCTTATAATTAAAAGAGCAAATAATAAAATAAAGTTTATCAAAGAAGGAATAGAGCAATGATTGTATAAATAAACATTAGTAAACGAATAAAGACGAATGTCCCAGAAAAAATTTCCTTTCAATAAGTGTAATACCACTAAAAGTCCCTTTAAAGCACTGATACATGCACAGACTCGAAATGAAAACAGGAATTTGCTCAGGACAGCTTCTAAATACTTCACTTTAGAAGGGGTTCTTGACAAGTACTTCATGAAACTAAATCCACATCTTTATGTGTCGTTTTCTTGTTCAGCAATCGCGTTCAGCAATTGCTGAACAAGAAAACGACACATTCATATTCCAATGCCGAAGTTAATAGAAAGTCGATCCTGGAAACCACATCTTTATCGCGGTTTGTTTCTTAAGATGAGAACAGCAAGAACAGCTTCATAAGAATGGTAAGCAGTACCTAGCACTACCAAAGACATGGAACACTAGTGAAATAATGGGCGTCATATTGTGTGGGCTCGTAAAAAAGCTCGATTGCGTACCATACGCGCTATTCTACGGTTCTTTAGTTGCCTTGGCCAATGATGAATATCCTGCTAAAGGACCTTGCCCGAAAAGAATCCTTAGGTGGTTCTCATCCGTCACTCTAGTCTTACATTAAGTACAGTCAGTTCTCGTAATGTCTGGCATGTTTGAGAATATACTGCTTCTGTTCTTGTCTCTTCAGACTCGAATGTGCCACTCTCGCTGACGGTGACGTTCTTCATACCAGGTTAGGGCTACCTGAGATGGATCGCTATATGGCTGTGTTGTTGGTTGAGTATCTTGTTGCCGTGGAAACGGATTATAGTGTTTTACTCACTAGTTGTTGTCCAAGTGGGTAGATTTTTTCGAAATCCACTTTTCACTCTTTAGGTTTCATCCGGGTCTCTTTTCACTCTTTGGGTTTCCGGATACCAGTGACAGCGAGGTAGTAGATAAGGGTGTAGGTTCGCTCATTCCCTAGAGGAAGACATACCAGTCGCACTCAGCAAATGACGATATAGTGATTTGGAGGCATATTTTGAGAAGCGGAAGTTGGCACTGGATCCTTCCTCTTTGTGGTCGGTTTCAACGCATATCATTACGCAGTGTCTTGCCCTTTTGTGTGCAGGAGAGGAATGTAGGGATAAGATTTCGTTCTTCTCTCTAGGCTGTTGAACACACAGGAAACACTACGCGTGTTACGGATTCAGGGCCGCGTGTAGCGCAGTGGTCAGAGGCGCCCAGCAATACACTTGGGATCGATCCCCGCGCAGTAGGCTCACCTGGCCTTCCATTTGTCCGGGGTCGAGGTAACGCTCTTGTCTGGACGGAGCGCAGCGCTAGCTGGATACATCCGTGATTCACTGTAAAGGCCAGATATGCCTTCAGTTACCTCAAAAGATTGGAGCCGAATGCATGGCGCATCCTTCAGGGGTTGATCGTCGCCGAGAGCTTTATCTTCTATTTATAGAAGCTGGAGAGTTCCAAGTATATTGCGATAATAGAATATTCGATGTGAAACAAAGAAGTGTGGTTGTTTTCTTGCTTTCTATGCATTTAGTTGGTAGCTAAAACAAATGTTATTCTACGAACGAAGGTTTTTAACAAATTATGAGATGGAATTCTACTAGTGGGAGAATTTCAACTCACCAAAGCTGCTGTCCAATGAATCCATCACTTTGTACGCAACTCGTATAATGCTGAGACATTCGCAAAACTCCGGACCACAGGTGTCTGCGGTGGGGAACGAACGCGCTATTGTCCTTTCCGGGGAGTAGCCCGTTCACCACCACACCATGCGGGTCCTTCGTTTCGCCTGTCTCTCAGCTATTTCTATCGATCTTTTTGCCACAGCAATATAATATAGCTGAAAGACAGGCGAAACGAAGGACCCGCATGGTGTGGTGGTGAACGGGCTACTCCCCGGAAAGGACAATAGCGCGTTCGTTCCCCACCGCAGATACCTGTGGTCCGGAGTTTTGCAAATATCTCAGCATCATTGAAGTTATATTTCGCAACATACCCTGTCATTAAAAAGAGTAGGCAGTAAATAAAAAGGTTAAGTTTGTACGCAAAATCATTTCTAATGAAGTCATGCGGAAAGAAAAGTTCGATGTGACTTCGAGAAGAAAAGTAGTGCAGCGATTTTTTCTTAGCTCTTACTTATAAATTAATGGCGCAAATCATTGTTTCCCTAAGAGATTTCAGACCCAGAGCTATATCTTCCGTGCAGTTAGTTCGAATTGGGCATTGTTTAAAACGAATTGTGTCTCACTATTTTTCTTAAAGTGGACCAGTCCTATAAAGTCTCTAATATTGTATTATTCCTATTCTTATGTGAAGTACAACAATTTATGGGAACTATACTCTAGAGTAATCGACGTTGCTCCTTTAAATGAGAATCTTCGACTCACTTCATCGCGACACTGTGACTTGTCCCAAAGACCAAATGTCATCTGATCTAAAGCATTGGTGGATGGATATCAGTTGCTATCTTTTCAGGGCTTAAGACCGCTTTCTTTATTCTGTAACTTTTTCTGGTATCATGGGGTTAAAGCTTCGCAACGAGAAGTTCGACGACTACGATAAGTAATATGCTCTCGCTAATTCCAAAGACCGACTTTCTGTTAACCTCGGCATTGATCAAATACTTCTTTATATTCTTGTTGAGGAAATACGATGTGTAATTTCATTCTTTATTACGATAAAGCTGACGTCTCGACGGATTTTGTTCTCCTCAGAGCCTGGAAAGGTCAAGTTGAGCGCAGTCCACCCAGCCAAACACATCCAATCCATAATGAGACAAAGAAAATACTAAACCAACATTTCAATCACATTGAACACAGTCGACTGACTTTGTATTGACAGCTTTCTTTTTCCTTTTCTTCTTTTATTAGCTTTTCTTTTTATTTATTTGCAATTAACATTTGCGCTCGCTAAATTCATCGGAGCACAATTTCTTTCCTCGCTGTGGAATTGAATCCAGAATTCGCCTTGTAGATGACGTACTATCTTTTTTGATGGTGTTGAATATACCGCTGACTAAGTTTGCACTCTGTAATAAATGAAGTCATACACGAAAATACTACCTGCCAATCAGAATAATCAGCAAAGGCTTGTATTCCAACCTGGTTAAAAACCGTTTTAAGGTGTTTATGTCCTAAAGAATGTGACTTTTCTTTTTACCACCTCAACATTAGACCAGTTTTATGAAACTCTTCTTAGGACCTCAGTGTACACCAAACTCATGTATTCGGCAAATATGAGACCAAATGTCAAGGAAAACGGCAAGGCCAAATTATTTATCGTCATTACTTGATATTTACTTGATACGTGAACGGCACGTCCTCACTAGTTGTGCGGGTCCCAGCATAATCACCATTTTTCGGAGATTTGTTGGCTAAACCATGGTTCCCTGGAATCCCGAGGTCAGCCTGGCCAAAGTCTGCCACAGGTCGTCACCATCACAGGTACTCGCAGTCCTTGTGGATCCGAGGGAGATTTGCCATCATGCGACTTTGTTACCAGGACGGCGGCGGATGCTTGTAATGGTTTACTCTTAGCTAGGCTTCCTGATGGAAATGCTGGACTCCTTCTCAGCTTGGGAGACCCTGCCGGGCGGACGAATCCCCGTTGTACATCGTAGACCTCTCTGTTTCCGCATAAAAGAACACCTTAGCCGGCAAACATAGACCAAATACACCGCTAGGCACGCATAGGACCCAGAGACATAACGGGGACGACTTCGAAGTATGTGTCACGATCCTCGCACGCGAATCGAGAACACAGGCGCGAAAAACTCTCGAGGCACTCTGGATTAATTCCAGAAATCCGAAAATGAACCGCATGGAATAGTGCCTTATTATCACGTGTGATATACAAACCTGTTATTCTGATGGGAAAAGATGGAAAAGAAAAACTGATTAATTTCTGGTAATGTTACGAGCAACTTTTCAGAACCTAAGTTGCGTATGTCCTATCACAGGAATCAAGAACACAAGCGCGCAAACTCTCCAGACATTCTGGATTAACTCCAGAAAGCCGAAAATGAACCGCAGGGAAGAATGCCTCATTATCACTCGGATATTGGGCAGTATATAATACTGCTATTCTGATGGGAGGGGCACATTATACTTCCATGTGATTTCTGTGCGGTTGGTCTCTACGTGACATTCTTAGTGGAGACCTCATAGAAAGCGGTGAGTGTGCAAAGCTGTGTTCAAAGTGATTGAAATCTTGGTTTAGAGTTTCTTTGTTTGGTTATGGAGGCGTCTGGGCGAGTAAATTGCTGTCAACTTGACCTTTCCAGGCTCTGAGGAAGGCGAAATCCGCCGAAACGTCAGCTTATTCGTGAATTAAGAATAATAACACCTCGCGTTTGCTCAATAAAAATACGAAGAATTACTTGATCAATGCCGAGGTTAATAGAAAGTCGGTCGTGGGAGTTACTAAGTAAGGAAAGCCCTTACGAAGGACTTACGTTGATAAAGGCTAATTAAACTGTTAGAAGCAGGAGCGAAGAGTTTTATTCCATTTCTTCCCGTTACACTAGCTTGGTGTTAGCTAGAGGAAAGTCGTAGTGGATTTCATCCTCCAATATTCAAGTTGCGATCAGGAACATAAAGGAGATTTGCTCTTGCTAATGAGCATTTCATTTATTTCTTTTGTGCTACAAGCGACGAACTACCTTCATGTCGTAGGCGATGAATTCTATGCACATCTCGAAATCAACGATGACAACGCGCCTTCAAGAAATGTGTATAACTATGGTGGTCATTAAACATAGGGAGCGATTTCGAGGCAGACTTGTCTAAAAGACGAACAGAAGCGCGGAACTGAGTATTCCAAAAGAACCATCGATCATATGACTGGTGCATAACTCGGCCCTTATCTGTTCCATCAATTTTGCTAATGCTCTAATATATATATATATATATATATAATGGCAATAATATAATATATGTGGCAAAGATAGATAGAAATAGCTGAGAGACAGGTGAAACAAAGGACCCGCATGGTGTGGTGGTGAACGCGTTACTCCCTGGAAAGGACAATAGCGCGTTCGTTGCCCACCATAGACACCTGCGGCCCAGAGTTTTGCAAATATCTCAGCAACGTTGTGGTTGTATTTCGCTTAGTACCCTGCCGCGAAATTATAGTAGGCAGAAAATAAAAAGGTATAACATAGTCACCATAACCTTTATTTGTGCGGTTTCGGCTTTGGGAAGTGCTGTGGAGTCCACTTTTTGTTGCGCAGAATAAGAGCAGACGACTCTTCAAAACAGCGACTTTTGTGATCATCGTTTAATTCATTCAGTACCCAATTTTCGAGTTTTCTTCTTTCCTGTGCGATTCAAGTGAGTGAAAAATGTTTCTGTGCTTGTGGCAAGCTGTTCTTCAAGCCTTCGAACAGTTGTTATCGTATTTGCTTCCACTAGTGCAGAGGAAGATTTGCCACCACGTGACTTTGATACCAGGACGGTGGTGGATCATGGCATGTGTTTACTCTTATGTAGGTTTTCTGATGGAAACGCCGAACTCCTCAGCTTGGGAAACCCTGCCAGGGATGAAGCCACCGCTGTACATTGCAGTCCGACACCCATGAACACTTCCTTGCTACGATGAGGTGGTAAACCGTTGGGAGGTACCGTCGTATTTTTTCGGACCTGTTGTTTTATTTTTAAAGTTGTACAGAATCAAAACTTTTAAAGAGAGTGAGGATGGAGTTGGCATTAATCTTCTGTATGATTGAGTTAGCGTGAGGCTGGTGTAAAACTTTTATTCCGGTAACATTCCGGCACCTTCACGTTCTGGCATATAGCATAGCAGCAAAGAAAGTACCGAATACCTTCTGTGCTAG